TCTTGGCGCGCAGCTCCGAGGACAGCTCGAGGTCATTACCTTGACCACAGCGTGGTTGCGGCTGCTCGGGTCGGGGAGCCGGTCCTCAGCCCGGAAGCGCAGCTCCAGCGCGTGGCGGCTGCCGGAGAACATCATGGCGGCGGCGGGCGCCGGGCCGGGGGGGGGGGGGGGGGGGGGGGTTGCATCCGCCAACAGCTTCCGGTGCGGCACAGGCGTGCTAGAACCACTGTTCCGCTTGCCACTTCAATGGTTTTGATTATTCCAGCACATAGATGGTTTCTGTCCAGTGAGTTCTCTCCACGGAGTTCTCCTTAGTCATGAGAAAAGTAACAACGGAGAGAAACTTTAAGCATGTCGCGTATGGGTTACCTCCTTGAGTCAGTGTGCTATCCTTATGCTAGGGAGCGTCACTTTCCCCAAAATTGCATATGACGTACGCTGCAGTCCTGAGTCACAATAAGATGTACTATTTATGTGGTGAAATTGTATGGGATTTGACAAACGCATAGCGGCAGGTTCTTTTATTCGAGAATGCTGCTTCTATTCCTCTTCAGGGAATCCATCGCCTTTTGTATTTCGTCCTTGGCGTTATTTCTTTGCTTCACTTCTCTTTCATCAAAGCAAGTCATACCGTGCTCTATTTTCATTTGATCTCCCAGAAGAAAAGTACTGAATATATAAACGAGAATGTCAGCTATTCAGACTCAGATCCACAGTCAAGGACAAGGCTCCTGCGCTGCAACACTGCGGCCTGCAGAGGGCGCTGGACTCCGCCTTCCGGCCCTGCGGGGCGCATGCGCATTCTGGCTGCGGAGGCGGGGCTGGGTCTCCGGGGAGCGTGGGCTCCAAGGCTTTGGGGCAACTCGAGCAAGGTCCATCGTGAGTAAAACCTCCTGTCGGCAGCCCTAACTGCTGAGAAGGGAGATTCACTGCAGTCTCCCAGATATTTCTCTGAAACAGCAATAAAGACTTCATTTTCTGGGCTGCTCCCACGTGTTCTGTACTTCCTGTTGGCATATTTTAGCACTATTTTACAAATGTCTAAATTTGGGGTGGGGGCGGGCTTTTTGATGGATAATCGAAGCAGGCTGTAATATGTCCTCCCTGTGACCTCTTTCAGGATTGACTGTGAGGAGAAACACAAGAATTGTGAGAAAAATCTACAGCATACAGGGGCCCTGCAGATGAAGAAGTGTGGGATCAGGGCAGGGCCGGCAGTGCAGCCCGAAGGATAGGGGCTCCTGCGGAGAAACCCGGAGCTCTGCATCCGTGCCTTTCCACATTGTGAGGGGCTCATCTTTCTTACAGTGCTAAAGTCACTGGAAAATAGACAATGAAAGAGAAAAACCTTAATTCAACATTCAGTTGTTGACACTAAAGCATTAAGAACCACATCTTTCTTTTCATCATAGCAGATTTAAAAAATGATTTCCATTACAAAGGCAAGGGGAAGAGGTACACTTGTGAACAACAGTTTGGACCCCAAATGAAACTATATTGTTAAATATTTCTTCAAAAATAAGTTATTATTCTGTGTTTCAGTATATATCCTGAGATTTTAACCTATAAATAGGTTTAAAACATTTCGTTTATAGTCAAAACGAGTATAATGGTAAAATATTTATTTGTCAAGCCCCTCATATTTTTATTCTTCTACTGGTTTGCCACCCTTAAGTTTTCAGATAGAATTGACACAAGAAACTCACAATGAGGGGCCTTTCTCTTCCTTGAATGTAAAATATGCATACTCCAAAACACTCAACATAGGCTGTTTCTTGAATTTCTCAACCTGAACCCTACAACCAGAGAGAATGTGCAAGTAACCCAGTTTTTTTTTTTTTTTTTTTTTTTTTTTTTTTTTTTTTTTTTTGAGACGGAGTCTCCAACTGTTGCCTGGGATGGAGTGCAATGGCGTGCTCTCGGCTCATCGCAATCTCCACCTCCCAGGTTCAAGCAATTCTACTACCTTAGCCTCCCAAGAGCTGGGATTACAGGTGCCAGCCACCACTCCTAATTTTTTGTATTCGTAATAAAGACATGGTTTCACTCTGTTGGTCAGGTTGGTCTCAAACTCCTGACCTCATGTTTATCCACCTCTGCCTCTCCAAATTCTGGGATACAGGTGTGAGCCAACATGCCCGGACAAGTAACCCAATTTCAAAACTATGTCTGGGAGCCAAGTGTGGTGGCTCACGCCTATAATTCCCAGCACTTTTGGAGGCCAAGGTGGGCGGAACCCTGAAGTCAGGAGTTCAAGACCAGCCTGGCCAACATACTGAAACCCGGTTTCTACTAACAATACAAAAATTAGCCAGGCATGGTGGTGCATGTCTGTAATCCCAGTTACTCAGGAGGCTGAGGGACGAGAATTGCTTGAACTGGGCGGCGTGGGGTGGAGGTTACAGTGAGCTGAGATCTCGTCATTGCACTCCAGCCTGGGTGACAGAGCAAAACTGTCAAAACAAAAACATACATCTGGCAGGGCGCCGTGACTCATGCCAGTAATCCCAGTGCTTTGGGAGGCTGAGACGGGCGGATGACTTGAGGTCAAGTTTCAGATCAGCCTGGCCAACATGGTGAAACCCTGTCTCTACCCAAAATACAAAAATTAGCTGGGCGTAATGGTGCACACCTGTAATACCTGGTACTTGAGAGGCTGAGATTGGAGAATTGCTTGAAACTGGTAAGTGGAGGTTGCAGTGAACTGGTTTGCACCACTGAACTAGAGCCTGGGAGACAAAGTGAGACTCCGCCTCAAAAACAAACAAACGAACAAAACTACATCCGATCTTCCGCAAAGTATCTGCTATTCTCAGAAAAGATCAAAATCCACCAAGCAAAGAGACCTCTGAATAAAGGCACTAAGGTCCGCCTTGGATGTATTTATGACATTAGCAAAATTAAATGAATTATCCTGTTTTTCTCTTAGTCATCTAAATGATTTCTTTACCTTTTTTTTTTGAGATGGAATTTTGCTCTCGTTGCCCAGGCTGGAGTGCAATGGTACAATCTTGGCTCACCACAACTTCTGCCTCCCGGGTTCAAGCAATTCTCCTGCCTCAGCCTCCTGAGTAGCTGGAATCACAGGCGAGTGCCACCACTCCCAGCTAATTTTGTATTTTTAGTAGAGGTGAGGTTTCACTGTGTTGCCCAGGCTGGTCTTGAACTCCTGACCTCAGGTGATCCACCCACCTTGGCTTCCCAAAATGCTGGGATAACAGGCGTGAGTCACCACGCGAGGCCTCATCTAAATGACTTCTTACTAGAGGGGAAGGCTTCTTGGAAAAAGACATTTTGTAATTAGATTTATTTTTATAAACATCCAAGGGAAACAGGGTCTATACTTCATCTAATAAAACTGATTAGGGTATCAGCTAAATGGAAAGAGAATCTACAAATTTAGACAAGATCTAGGGAGAGAATGACCCCCTGAGCTCTAGGGCCTGTTAATGACGGCACACCCAGTAAAAGTACGGCCTCACAGATTTTCCATCTAGTTCAATTCTTGTATTTACTGGTCACCTTTTTCTCCCCCGATACCATCTAACCTCATGTTGTCAAATAATTTTTAATGATAAAAAGGTTAATTCTGAGTTCGGGCATTTGGTGTCTGGCCACCTGAAAGTTCAGGTGACTTTGTCCATGGAAATCATGGATTTTACTTAATAAGTAACGTTGAAAGGGAAACTTGCATTACAATTTGGAAATCAGTCTAGTGGGGGATACGGGCAAGAAATAAGTTAACAGACAGATTAGCACATAGTGATATATTAGAAATTAAGTAAAGGTCCTTTTGGTATTTTCCTCAGCCTGTCTTATAAGCCTATTATGTTTGGATAACTTTCGCCAGGAGATTCATTTTAAAACTTAATTCACTTAAAATACATAGCATTTTATTATTTAAAAATACTATTGCTTGGAGTGGTGGCTCATGTTATGGTGAAATTCTGTCTGTACTAAAAATTCAAAAATTAGCTGGACGGGGTGGCACACACCTGTAATCCTGGCTACTTGGGACTCTGAGGCAGGAGAATCGCTTGAACCGGGGAAATGGCGAGGTTGCAGTGAGCCAAGATTGCACCACTGCACTCCAGCCTGGGTAACAGAGTGAGACTCTGTATCAATAAAAAAATTAAAAAATAAAAATAAATTAAAAGAAACATACTGTCAGCCCTCCACATCCATGGGTTACAGCTCTATGAATTCAACTAATCTTGAATAGAAAATAATCAGAAAATATTTACACAAGTTTCCCCCCACACCCAAAATTTGAATTTTTCGTTCACCAAATTCTTTATTGAGAACACATAAATGATGTGCGGTCTGGGCATTGTATTAGGTGCTGTAAGTAATCTAGAGATAATTTAAGCTAAATGAATTAATATGATTACGCTACGTCTAAATTCTATCCCGATTTATTCAAGGGACTGAAGCATCCACAAATTCAAAGTTTCCTAGAACCAATCCTTTATGTTTACCCAGAAACGACTATACACATGAACCTTTCAAAAAATAGTTGTCTTTCCTAATTAATGAACAAAGTACAATAGAATGTAAATAGCACTATTTTAAAATACTGATATTTTATATCACAATTATATGGTGAATCGGAGTAGAAGTTACATCGGATTGACTTTGATTAGATTAAGCTAATTATGACAAGGGCACAGCCTTATTGATTGAGTTTTGATAAAAGTACTCCCATGCAGGTCCCTCCTATTATTTCATCAGCAGCACTAGCCAATCACATTCATCCCTTTAGACAAATCCCATGGCTCTACCTCTTATAAGCCTCTTGGAACTTCCCCAAGATGTCATTCTACCAAAGCATCGTCCGACGTGTCCTAGGCCAGGGCACACTCTCCCATGTTCTGGCTGTGCTGAGCTGATCATTTTCTTCGGGTAAAGGAAAAGATCAAGTCATAGACTGTATAGATTTACAGAACGTAAGTCAAAGATTGAGATTTTTCTGATACAAGCAAATCTAGAGAAACTTTACTATGTATGGTTACCGGTGCCCAAGAAGCCCCAGTGATTTCTGGACAGAATTGCAAAGTGACAGTCAAGGAGAGAGCAGGTATGTTGGGATGTGTGTCCGCTTTGGGTTGCCAGGAGGTTGACGTGTGACTGTGTGTGTGTGTGAATGTGTAATAAAGGGCCAAACTAGGGCAGAGAAGGCGTTGAATATTATAAACTTAGAACATGTAGGGAAGATATAAGACCCACAGTGGAGGCCCACAGGATGTAACCAGCATGGGGGGTTTCTGGAACATGTTAGGGGGCTCATCTCAGGCTTCCTCCGCTGTCAATCTATGCCTCTCTAAACGAAAGTCGCCTTGTGTGTGGAGACACGGAAACTGTGGGCATGATCTAAATTCATTCCTTGTGCTCACTAGAAAATGAAACATTTCCCATCATCTCTCACTTCTTTCATACTGTAACTGCATAGACACAGGGGTCAGATACCTGAAATACCAACATCTTCTCCTAAAGTCCTCAGACCTAATGAGATGCCCCTCCTTCTCATGTGGATGAGCTCCTGAAAAAAGCAAACTGTTTGCTGTGGTCACCATTCCAGATCACATACATGCACCAGTAGGAAAGGGCTTTGGAAAAGGTAGGGTGAGAGGCGCGTGTTAGAGCTTACTGGGTACAGCTACAATTTGGAGTTGAGCACAAGGGCACTTGACCTAGGGCCACAGGAAGAATGTGTGCCGGATGACAAATGGAGTTTTTGGCTTGTGGGAATGGACTCTGTGTCACTGTGTGGAAGACTGATAGGTCCCATTCTGTCCTAAAGCTTGGCTGCCACACAAATGAATCCACCCAAACGTCGCCGAGTGGAGCAGCATCCCGGGACAGGTAAGGCACTCTCCCTGATATGTCTTAAGATCCCCATGCCTGGAAGTCAGCGTCGTGTCTCAAAATACCATAAATGGAGAGGGTATTCCTGCAGGGTGAGTGGGCTGTTGAGGGCTGGTGTCCTGAGGCTGGCCTGTGCTAGGTTGTGGATTTCTGAAGGTCATATTCTCAAATCCAAGAGACTTTTGCTGGAAGAGAGCCTTAACCTCCCTCACTGTGGTCTCTCTACAGGTGCAGAAACACCCTCAGTTCTAGAAGCTCCGCACCAGGATTCATGCCAGTCCCTGGAACCTTCCCAGGTAAGTTCCTGTGTCCCTGCATGGCAAACATTGTACAGTGCTGCACAATCTTCAGGCTCAAGGGACATCCAGGGGATGTACATTTAGGTGGGTCAGACTGAGAGGGAGTTTGTATTTTAAAGTTGTGGAGGGGGAAGCTCCTGGCATCTCCCTTCCTATGAGCCTCATTTGCATCCTTTCTGAGGGGAGAACGCTGAGGACTGTCTTTCCACAGGTGCAGCAGGATTCCAGCACAGAGGAGTTCATCGTGATCTTGGAAGAAGAGACAGAAGTGACGCTGATCCTGGAAGAGGGCATCATTATCCTGGCCCCAGAGACAGCCCTACAGCTGACCGTGGATAACACCGCCCTTGTAATTGTCCCTGAGCAGGACCTGAGGTCACCAGACAGCCTGCAGTCCCCTGTGCAGATCCAGTACATCTTGCCCTCCGTTGATGACTTCACCGTGGAGATCCATGATGAAGATGGAGACATCTCAGACATGAGAAGAGAGAATGCGCCTCTTGCGCCTGCAGAAGAGGGGGAGGCAGCACCCCTATATCATCAGCCCTTGATGATGCCCCCAGCAAACCACATGGCTGGGATCAGCCCTTCTTTCCTAGTAACCCCGTTGTGCATTCCACGCCGTCTGGCAGCCTTCCCCCAGCGCTACCCTCTACCGCCCACACCCAGTCCAGTGCGACGCAGTAAACCGGACGACTACATTTTCAGCCTGCATGGTATGGAGCTGCTGTGCACCTCCTCCCTCAGACCTATGCCCCCTTCACCAAGTCCTGGCCCCCAGATCTATCACAGGATTCACCATAGGCGGCCTCGCAAGGCACGAAGATGTCTCTTCAGGGAGTGATTTAACCCAAGAACCGCCCCCTCGAATTGACAGGTCAGACACTGTCCGACTCCTTAGTGCATTCGCTGTATGCGGAGAGAGACTAATTCCAGGGACGTCTTGCTTCCCCTTTGCTGTTTCCCATCATCATCCACTGTCTTCAACAGCAGAGGCCCCCAGATGCTGCAGCGACGGGGGCCGCTGCAGGGAGTTCAAATAAAATGATCGCATTTCACTTCACACACGCTGTCCCGTAGAATTTCTCTTCCTTATTTAACTGCTTAAATCCAACCACACTGGGCTGAAGCCCTGACGCCTGCCTGGGAGAGCTGGCGGAGGTGCACAGGCGCTCCATTCCTTGTCTTAGTCCCGCTTCCCCCGATTCCCAGGCCGATGCTTTTGAATAAATATTGATGCTGTTGAATGAAGTAGTGGGGACTGCTGTGTTTGCTTCCAGCTGAGACACTCTTCTGCTCTCGCTTGTCCTGTTTCCATTGACATTTGCCTTTGTTCAGTTTTGTTTTCCATTGTTTGGGTTTCTTATTCATGTACTCATGAAACAACTGCTACCTTTCTGACAATTGCGCTTCCTGCTCCTTCTCCTGCTCCTCCTTTCAGGCTCACTTCATCCTCTTCCTCCTTCTCTTCCTCTTTCCTCCCCCTCCCCCTCCCCCCTCCTCCCCCTTCCCCTCTCCCTACCATCTCCTCCCCTTCTTTTTTCCCCTCCTCATCCGCCTGCTCCATTTTCTCTTCTTTAGGGAGAAGCTCCAAATTCACTTCCATTGCTATTGAAGGTCATTATCCTGATTATCTACATAACCTAAAAAGTGTCAGTATACAAAATCAATAGGATAAACTTTCTGCTCCCCTCAGAGCAAACAGGATTATGACCAAAATGATCAAAGAGCATGGAAGGAAACAATACGATCAGAAAGCTCACGGAACTAGCTCAAGGTGGTTGGGTGGGGGGCTGGTGATGGGCGTGGGGAGTTGGTAAGCAGGTGTTGCAACCTGAATCTGAATAATTAATGAAAGGCAAAGTATAGGGGAATCAAGCTTCAACAGCTGCAGTGCATCCCATGGGAAATGGCCCAGTTCAACTGTGTCTATTTCCCCACCTTCTAAAAAACACCATGGAAAATGAGACAGAGCTACATGCGCAAACAGAATCTTCCTGAGAGGAGACGCAGAATCTTCAAAGCTTGCTGGTGTACAACAGGGTTTTAGAATGTTTGTCAGTAGTGAACATCATCTTGGAGTGGGCTTTGTAGACAGACATTGCCGGGTCATGTAATTGAATTAAGTTGATTAGGTCAGGGTACATTTCCGGAAGGGTGTCTCCAGAGGCAGTATAAAAGGCAGCCTGCAGAGCCTGGCTCCCTCTCGGCCGCTTCCTCTGGCTTCCTGGAGGCTGCATCGCTTCCAGCCAGGCTGCTCCGATATCTGCCCACCTGAGCGCCAGTCGAGGAACTATAGCAGACCTGCCATTTCAGGTTAGTTTCACTAAAAAATTGTTTGTCTCACATCATCCCTGAGGGTTTGGGAGGAAAATAGACAAAGAAGAGTGAAAGGAACAGGTCACATTGGGGTAATGACTACATGATAGGGTAAGATGTGTGTTCTTGTTACTAGTATTTCCTGGAAAAGAAACTCAGAACGTATTTCCATCTTCTTTCCATTTCTGGAAAGATGATCGAGATGGAAATGGGAACAGAAATGTTCTCCATCATGTCAAATTGCTGGGTTAATGGAAAGAGAATTTTGAAACGAGAGTGGTTTGCCGTTTAGTCATGTAAGAAATTGCTACGGGCTAGGTTCACCCTTTGTTTCCATAATTCGTATGGCTCCTATAAAATACCAGAAAAATAAAGACAGGGACTGGGGCTGGAGCTCAGCCAAAAAGATACAACAGGAAAGACCATAACCAGCTGGGGTGATGGAGAGAAACATGATTTCTTTTTATGAATTTCTATTTGGCTGCCAAATCAAATGTCCAGAGGAGCGAATCAAGTGGTGATAGGAAGCATCTGTTATTCCTGATTTAAAATAGACCTGCCAAAGGGGCCCGTAGACCATGCCCTAAACTTTGGATTGTTGTGAGCGTCAAGGGAGACAGAATGAATGTCTTTCCTAGTAGGCTGAATCGTGATAGACTTAAGTCCAGTCTCCAGAATCAGTTGTTGGGGGTTGAAATCTCACTCGCCATACAGAGGCCACGGGCCCCGTGGCAGGCGAGGTTTCCTCTTGGACCAGGCAATCCTGGCAGAGGAATGTATGGTCATCTGAGGATGCACATCACATTGTGATCCACAGATTGGACCAACTGCTGGGCGGGTCTCCTCATGACCACATCAGCAAGGAATTAGGTGAGGGCTTCTGGGTATGTGAATCTCCAGTGCGCTTAACCATGGATTTGTGTTGTGTGTGATTCAGGTGACCCGACGGTCGACCCTGAAAAAGGTGGACATCAAAGCGCCAGGAAGTGAAGATGATGGCACACCGTGACCCCAAGAGAGGGGCAAACAGACTCATGAGAGCCCAGACCCTCAAGAAGCAGCAGAGGGCCCCAGCTGGGCCAAGGGTTCCCCCACCCGATGAGGAAAATCCCAGGGTAAGTCTAGCCCTGGATCTTTTGAGCATCCGGGGATCTCGTGGTCCTCAGGGACTGGGTGGAATTCAAAACAGTTCTGTCACCACCACCAAGATTTCTTTCTCTTTTCTTTCTTTCCTTTTCTTCTCTTTTCTTTTCTTTTTTTTAATGAGACAGGGTTCACCATGTTGGCCAGGCTGGTTGAACTCCTGACCTCAGGAGATCCACCTGCCTCGGCCTCCCAAAGTGCTGGGATTATAGGCATGAGCCACCGCACACCGGCCCAAATTTCTTTTTCTATCCAAGGTGGGCCTGGCTTGGGTCCTCCTCTCAGGCCCCATAGGTCCCTTGAGAGACCCTGGAGAGCAGCTTCCCTTCCTGCCTGGAATCCCATGTAGCCAGCTTTGGCTGTGTTGTTGACACTGGGTTCATGCTCATGACCATTAGAACCCTGGGTGTGTCCCGTTAAGGGTTTCTCTGTAACACGGGCTCTGGGAAGGAACACCGTATCTGAGCTCTCCCAGCACTTAGTGACTCCCATACCACCGTCCCCTCCCTAGAATCCCTATTGAGCTCTGAATTCACAACCTGTCTCATTTTTGATCTTTGATTTCTGCCTCAAAGGCTCGTGCACTGACAGCACTTTCTTTCCACCCTCAGGTCAAGTGCAAAGACTGCGGGGCGTTTGGCCACAAGGCCACAAGTACGAGGTGCCCCATGAAGCGCTGGAACGGAGCCTTGGTCCCCCAGACCTCTGGCAAAGAGGAAGGGAAGGAAAACCTCAAGCCATGGAAGCCCCGGGTTGAGGGGAACCCGGGGCTCTGGAGCAAGGAGAAGGCAGAGAATGAAGAGAGACCAAGGTGAGCAGTGGGAGGGGTTTTCACAGCTCTTTGGGTACTGCCACCTAAGAGCTGGGTGTTCTCCCAGGTGCCACACTCAGGAGCTCCCTTCACCCTGGGAGACAGATTCAGGGGTGGGGGGCAGGGGTGTTTCATGGAGGTTGCCCAGGACAGGGGGAAAGCAATGGAATGTAGAGGAACGTCCTTAGCTGGGAAGCCTAGAGGGCCGCCTGGAGGAAGGGAAGCCTGGCCCATGAGGGAAGGTGCCCAAACAGGAAACGGGACTGGGCTCAGATAGGGTTCTCCCCGTCCCCTGGGAAAACTAGGGGGCAGCACCTGAGCTTTTTCTGTTCTGCAGGCCGCAGGACCAGCAGAGGAAGGCTCTCCTCCAGATAATTTCCGGGAAACCTCAATCCAAGCGGCTGCCCGGTGGAAAAGAATCGGGGGAACCCTGTGACTATCTGACGGTGAGTGTCACCCTGGGCCCCTGCTCTTTCTCTCCTACAGGTTACCCTGGGGGATTTCCGTTCAGGCCCGCAGCTGTGGGAGGGAACTGGGGGCATTCTCAGCCTCAGGGTCTCAACGACCCTTTCAGGTTAATTGATTCCAGGTGAAGGCATCTGAAGATGCCATATTTCCTGGTGCTTTCTCTCTGTCGGACTATTGCAAGCCTGCCAACAACACTTTCCTAGAGGCAGGAGGACATTAGGTCACTCCAGTGAATCCCCAAGACACAGTCACTTCAGCGATGATATTCTGTAGATCACTACACCTAGTTCCAAGGCACATTTTTCAAGTGTCTTGTCCTGCCCAGCACTCACTTGAGGATCAGTCCCTGCTTCCAATGACTGCCTGTCGAGACTGTCTGGAGAATGTCTGGGTGCAAGCACCTTGTGTTTGGCTGTGCTGGATTTTTTGTCGGCTGGATGCGGAGGAACATCTAATGTGTGTGGTTTCCTTTCTTTCAGGGGGCAGGCAGGCCAATGCCAGTCCACACCACCAAGAGGAGGCCAGTCGTGGACGCTGCTCTCACCGACGGCTCAGCTCCCAAAATTGCTGACAGGGGCTCCACCTGGGCTTCACTGTCTCCCCTCAGGAAAGCCAGTGTGAGCTCCTCCTCAAGTCGTGGACCCACGGAACCACAGACAGGGGCCGTGGCCCACATCCCTCAGGCTGCATCCCGGGGCCGTGGCCCGCAGCCTCTCCTCTTGGTGAAGCCCACAAACAGCCGCCCTGAGGGTGGCTCCCGTGAGGTTCCCCAGGCTGCCTCCAGCACCCACGGCCTGAACCCTGTCATCGACCCCCAGGCACAAGCCAAACGTCCTGCTGTGACCTCACAGCCCTGCCCAGCAGCCGCCACACACAGCTCGGGCCTAGACTCCAATCTCAGCTTCAGGCCAGGAGCCAAGAGGCCTGCCCAGGCTCCGATTCAGGCTTGCCTGAGTATCCCCAAGAAAGCCAGACTCGGTCCCATCCAGATCGCGGAAAACAGAATCCAGGGAGGGGAGCCGGGCGCCCTGGAGACTCTACAGCCTCCGCCAGCTCTAACCGAACTTAGACCAAATAGGTCACCCCAGATGAGCAGGAGGACACCCGCCCAGGTGCCCAGCCTCGACCTGCAGC